GGGAATMRYTTTTATCTTTTYAATATTGGCAATTAAGACTGAACACAATCCAGATATTCAAGTCAATGTAACACTTATCATTAAAAAAAAACAAAGCCCACAACACTGCCAGAGTCAACTGCAAAAAGAATAAATACACTGCCACAAGAAATTATTAAAAGCAATCCTTAAAATAAAACGAAGAATTGATTGGTAAAATATTACACAAAAGTACATGCTAGGCCAATATTTAGCTTTGTCTTAAGAAGGAATACATAGTGACTCTTAGRATCTGCAGCATCTCAGAGACTGCCCTTGCAGTTGTTCAAAGCAGTAACAAAATTAGCTCTTCTGTCTTAGACTGTATAGAACACAACAAGCAGCAAAGATTAGTGGCATGACATTCATCAGGCATTTTCATTTCCTTTTCAGTCTCTTATGCTTTTCAACTTTGTTCCTTACCTGTTTGGGTGAGCAGGTTCCTGTCTTCCCCCAAAAGAGCCTGTAAAAGACATAATAAACATAAGGTCAGCAGTATATTCCAAATGACAGGACTTGTACCATAAAAGTGTTGAAAAGTAATCCTAAACCCATACATTTGCCACTGCAGAATATTCCTGTCTGAARTATACTAGCATAAAAAATCTTTCAATCCCAGCACAGATTAACTCCATCTTTATAAACTGGGCTTTGCAAAACCCAGGGAGAGCTACACCTTTCTCCCRAAGAATTGCAAAGGCAAAGATAAAATCAGAAGAAAAAAACTAAAAAAAGCAGGTTTTCTAAACAGCTTCCTTCAGTACAATACAGAAATCATAACAGTACAAATTAATCAGTATTGCTTTGTGATGAGGTAAGGGTTTTAACTCAAATTGTTTCTTAAAACCAGGTCACACCACAACTTCAGTGCACATCACAGACTCCCCAGTGCTGCCACACTTTGCTGATAGCCAGCAACAGCTCAGGCTTGTCCCGCTTCCACATGATACTGGGATGAAAGGCCACGGTACTCAAGCAACACAGGGATGAGGTGATAATTTCCACAAGAAATGGRCTTTTAATTATTTGTCAAAGACCAAACCAGAAGTTTAGCACAGAGCTGAGAAAAATAATTACATATTCTCCTGAGTTTCAGTCTAGGCCCATAATGCAAGGCTGCCTTTTTTCTTTTATTTACAGTATCTCTCTTAAAGAGATCTGGATGCCTTTTTTGACATGTTTCCTTTAGTATTGGACTTGACATGTTTGCTTTATTTTTCCTTCCTTTGCGACAGGATTACACAGAAATACACTCAGAATTCTGATTGCAAAAGAACTATTCTTCTAGGGTGTAATGCCTGAGCTAGTAAAAAGGCAAAGGCTGTCCAGGTGTAACCACAGAGAATAACTGAAAGACTAAATAYGAGCCTTCTAGGCAAACCACACCAAGGGAAACAGTCTAATGAATGTTAATAAATGCAGAAAAGTATAGAGCATTGAAAATGCATCCTGAGTCATTTTATTTTACTCCAGCAATTCAAACCCCTAAAGCCAAAAAAGCATTGCCTTTGTCTTCAGCACTGCCTCTGGAAGTCCCACAACATATTCTGTCCTACACAAGAAGTCATTTGCAGGATTCCACTGCAGATGCCACATTTAGCAGAGAAGGGTGAAATTTCACTATTAGTATACCCTATCAAAGAACACTTAAAAAAGTAAACACTAGGCACTTTGAACAACATCCTTTCCTGCACCTTCTACTTTTCAGAGCAGTTCTTACCACTGTGTTGCTCCAGATCCACCCTTAATAACACCAAAATGGGCCCAAACAGATCCAAGAAATCTCTATTTGAAATACCTCTTTTTACTGCTTTAAACACATCCCCTAAACTACTATCTTGCTGTATCAGGCAGAAGCTCTGCTGCCACTAATAATACAGCATGGAAATCCACAAATACTGTGTTTGTATCATTTACACCTCCAAGAAAGGATAATACCTCATGATTGCTGGCAGCCACTCACACTGCTGACATCTGCGTGGTCAGGCATAAGGGTGACAAGACAACATTTCATTTAACAGATTGATTTTAGTATAATAATCTTTGACACTGAGAAGCTCACAGGTTGAGTATTTTCCCTGAGAGGGTTATTTTCTTACTTCAGAAGTTTAACAAAATACAATTCATTTGTTTTGAATTAAGCTGCAGTTTTCAAAAACAGCTTCTTGGTAAAAAGAAAACCCCAAAAAGCTCAAGAAACATTGCTACAATGTCCCTCCATGTGCATCAGAAGGGTTAACTGTGAAGCACAACATGCAATGCTCAGTGTGGAGCATATATATTTAAAAGACAAAACACAAATGAAATTAAGAGAGCTACAGATGCCTGAAGTTTGCATTCTGTGAAGAAAGGGAGAACCTTTGAACAGATGTCAGTGGGCATCAATCCACATCAAGTGCTTAAAGAAGCTTAAGAATTTACACCGCTGTGATTTCTTAGAGCAGCTTAAAGGGTGCTTTCAGCTCCTTCCTCTTAAAAGATAGGAGAGACCTATGGTTTCACCATGAGTCTTGTGATTTTAAGTTACATCTGGCCCTTGGAATCATCAAAGACACAGAAGCCTTACTAAATGAAATTCAGTCTTTACAATCATGGTAAAACGAGAGTRAAAGGCACCATGAAGGCTCAAAACCAAACACCAAATAAAAGAAGAAGAGGATACCTTTAGTTTCTCAAATAGTATTTTTCCAGTAAACCTTATAATGATGGGAGTCTGACATGATTTGAGATTTACATTGGGAAACAACAGCAGTATTCAAGATGCTGATTTAAAGTAGYTTCATATTTCCTCACCCTTTATGAAGTACATCAATTTATCTGTACATCATAAGCAAAGTAGTTTTACTATGGCCAGTGAACTGTCAGTAAGATTACAGTCYAAACTGTTAGTAGTTTAAGAATACATATTTTGTATATACCTTGTGATGAAGGGTTAGAAACAGCACAAAACCTCTGTCTCATGCTCTAGATACCATGACCTTTGGAAGGCAATGCACAATCTGAATGAGGGAGTGATGATTTCTGAATGTTCTTGTGAATTAYCTGCAAAATTCTGCCATCAGAGGAACCCTTGATGTATTTCTGCTTCATGTTGACACTTCACATGAGCGCTGCTCCACAGGCAATTACAGGGGCACACCTACACCAATTCCAGCATGGCATAAAAGCATAAAGGAAAAATGTTTTTCAAATGCCTGTGGAAAATTCTTAGTTTCAATGTCCATAGTTAAAACAAACAGTTCAATTCTTGTGAACACTGGACATTATTACACTGGGCTTTTCTAACAGCTTTTCCTCCTGCTCCTTGACAAGGAGAGTGAGATGGCAGTAATATCTGGAATTCACCACTTAAATTCTGCTTGGAAGCCCACAATGTGTGAATATCAACACATCCTCTTCGAGCACCACCACACTGCTGGGCTGGCATTTGGGACACTGTCACCCCTTCCTGTGGCAGTCCCTTCTATATCCCTCTTGTCTTTGTCAGAACAGTATGGCTTTCACATCCCRACAGATGGAGGATCCACCTGCACTGCTGCTTCCCTTCCACCCTTGGTGGGATCATGCTGGCAGGCCCTCCTGGCCATGTTTTCCAGGGAGATTTCACCTCACTTTGGCTACCTGYGCCACTTCCACATCGTTACTCCATTGGCTCCCTTGGAGAAGCTTTTAGAACTCATGGACAAGCTGGTGAAAGGTCTGGAGCTCATGTCCTGTGAGGAAGAGCTGATGAAGCTGGGATTGTTTAGCCTGGAGAAGAGGAGGTCCAGGGCAAGCCTTATCACTCTCTACAAGTCCCTGCAAAGTGGTTGTAGCCTAGTGGGTGCCAGGAAAGATGCGTATTAATGTCTTGACAAACAATTCCATGGGTGAGGGTATGGGTGTTAATGTCTTTGAAATGGGTCTTAACATCTTTACCAACTTCAAGCCACAGGTTTGCTACCAAACCCCGATGGTTTGACTGCTGAAAGAGACAAATGGGTCCGCAGAAGCCTGAGTTTCTGCACTTTTGGGTAAAATGACAGGTACAAGGGGGGATATGTGGTAGGCGTTTCRGGAAGGCTATACCTTCCTAACACCTCAGGCAATGGGGAAAGGAAGAGGGCAAGGTGCAGCCGGGAGTTCAGGATAAAAGGAGGCTGCATCCTCCAAAACCCTAAGAGTGAAAATCCCGCGGGCATATGCCCCAGTGGACTCTCTCTTTATTCGAATAAACTTGCACTACTCCAGTCTCCTTTATGGACGCTGACTTTTCATAGAGTGATTTTCCGTAGATGGGCGTCAGCCTCTTCCCCCAGGCTACCAGGGCATAGAGAGAGGGCATAGCCTTAAGCTGCACCAGGGGATGTTCAGGTGGGACATGAGGAACAACTTTTTCACAGAAAGGGTGATCAGACATAGAACGGGCTGCAGAGGGAGACGGTGAAGGCGCTGTCCCGGAGATGTTTCAGACAGGACACGGCACTCAGTACCGTGGCCTAAATGACACAGTGGTGTTCATTCCCTAGGTCAGACCCGACGATCAGAGGTCCTTTCCGCCCTCAGTGCTCTGTAATTCTGCGATCCCGCCCTTTGCCCCCGCCCGTAGCACAACCCCGCCACACACCGCCGCGCGCGCAGAGGGGCGCGCCTCCTACGTCACTGCCCAGGCCCCGCCCATCGCCCCGCCTGGGCCACGTGCTGAGGCGGCCGCGCGCCCCTTGCTTCCACTTCATCTGTGCGCATGCGGCCGCACCCCCGCGCCTGCGCGCCCCGTGYGCACCATGCGTACCAGCGTGACGTCTGACGTCATTCCGCCCGCAGGGAGAGGGGCAGGAAGGAAGTGCGAGGGCCTGCCGGTCGCAACCTACCCCACTGTCCCCGGCGGCGTGACGTCAGCGTGACAGACAGCCGCTGTGATCAGTCAGCGCTCCCCGAGCCGGCCCCTGATTGGCTGTCAGGCCGGAGAGGCGCGGCGCGAGCGCCGGCAGAGGTTGGTTGCGGCGGTGCCGGGTTACATAGGGCGGGGTACAGCGTGTCCTTGGGCGCAGACGGAGCGGGAGGTGTCGGCAGCGCGGTCAAGGTGTCTGAGGGCGCAGCGGCACAGCCGGGCAGGCAGGTGCGGGTGGGCGGCCGGGCTGTGGCTGGGTCCTGCGGGGCGATGAGGGCCGGGAGGGGAACGGGAACGGGGCGAGCGGGCGGTGCTCTCGGCCATGCTGAGCGCCATTCCCGCCTGCCGGGGCCGCGGCCTGAGGCGCCGGCCGGCGGGGCAGCGGAAGGTCATTGCGGGGCTGGGCGCCCCTCCGCGGGCTGGGGTCTGAGGAGAAGCTCAGGGCCAAGATAGAAGCAGGCAGAGCCGGAGCCGGGCGGTGCGGGCGCCCTTGGCCTTTCCCGCCTCCTCACTCGTGGCTGCTGGCGGCAGCCGTAGGGGGCATCCCGGGTCATGGTGACAGCCGGATGCCCTCTGTCCTCTGGGCCTGCCCAGGTGCTTGGCTGGTCCGCTTTCTCAGCTGCAGAGAAAAAGCCTGCCAAGTGTCCTGCGTCTTTACACGAGGTCGTTCGTGACTAGGAAACTCCTGTTACAGCTGTACCAGCTATACATAGGAGCTGTGTTAAGTTTGTTCTTCAGAAATTATCGTCGTACCCTTTAAATGCTTCAGGGCAATTAGTTTGTCCGAGGGAAGGTTTTTCCTGCCCTTCAAGCATGTCTGTCACCTTTTAGATAGYCTGATGCTAATCTTCAAGCCCAGGAGCTGTCGCTTGAGGATAGACAGTGTGCTGGAGAATTGCCAGGTTCATGCACTGCATATGTTGGTTTTGTAAACCAGCAGGACACTTTTACAGTTTCATCTCAATCGGTGACCTTGAGGTTGTGATACTGACCTCTGTGTGTGTTCTTGGTCTAGWACTGACAATGGGAGACGTTGAGAAAGGCAAGAAGATCTTTGTCCAGAAATGCTCCCAGTGCCATACGGTTGAAAAGGGAGGCAAGCATAAGACTGGACCCAACTTGAACGGCCTATTCGGACGTAAGACCGGACAAGCTGAGGGCTTCTCTTACACGGATGCTAATAAGAACAAAGGTAAACTTAAAGCTGCCCTTAAGGGGCAAAAATACTCATTTCTTGATGGTAGTTCTAAAAATTTGCCAAAAATTAAAATAGGCTGGACAATAAGAATATAAACATTTACTATTTTGGATTTAACTTATCTTTTTTTTTTTTTGCCTTCCTTTAGGTATCACCTGGGGTGAGGATACTCTGATGGAGTATTTGGAAAATCCAAAGAAGTATATTCCCGGAACAAAGATGATTTTTGCGGGTATTAAGAAGAAGAACGAGAGAGCAGACTTAATAGCGTACCTCAAAGTTGCCACTGCAAAGTAAAAGTTATCTGCTGCCTTATTTATTTCACAAAGGAGATGGCAATGGAAATGTCTGTGATGAGATTGGTTTTTAAACTTTCTATTTTTACATGTACTGTGTCTAACCTTAAAATCTATCTCACCCATCAGATAACTTTGCTCACGGTGGGTCACTGGAGAACACTTGTCTGGCAGCGGTTAACTTAACAAAGACTATGTAAYTGGGTTCAGTCGTCCTTGATCATAAAAATTAAAAAAAAATAAATAAACATTTCCTGCCTCTTCATTGTTTAAACAAAATACATGTAAATAATCAAATGACTAACTGTCAGTAGCATAATYGCTTTGACAGCCCAGCTCTTTAACRTTAAAAAGCAGGGTAGTTTTTGGYATCTTCCACCATACTTCTTATGTTAACAGCAAAACAACAAAGACTATTAAAAAAACCCCAATCCCAATATAATATTTTTCTAAATTGAATCAGTGCTAGGTGTTGCAATATATATTTATCTGTCTGAAGCTTGTGCTAAAAAATGTATTTCATCTAAGTACTGTTTGTGAATTGGCAGTTGTGCCAAGCCACTTGTCTTTTATCTAGGRGAAGCATGTTACCTAATTCATCAGACTCTGACAGCTGCATGCACCTATAGAGTATAACTGCCCTTCAGAAACGTCTCCAGTTTTGACGTGTTATTGATGCCCTTTGCTCAGTAAATCTTCTGAGAACAGCCATTCTTAGTGTAAGAGAAAAACATCCTGTTCTGGGAATACAAGTGCTAAAGGCCAAGCTGGAAGTTATTTAATCTTAGTTCAGCAGAAAAGTTCAGCTGAGGTTTGTTGTTACAGGCAATTTCTGATGAAGRGGTACAGGAACAAATATGCTAGTAGACTAAAAAACAAGACAAAAATAAGCAATCTTCCTCTGTGCCTGGCTGTAGCCAACGTCATTACTTTTGAAGGTTCTGTTTCGCACATTGTAAAGCAGTATTTTTAATGTTTTAACTGCATTTTTTTCATACTAAGTTGTTCAGAAGAATGTATTTACTGTGTACCAACAGTAAGGCATAATTTGGAGCAATCAATACTGTAAATTAAAAAAAAAATTAAAAGTCTTGCTTGCTGTATGTGTATGAGATTAAGYGGGAAAGTATAGAAAAATTGGGTGCCCAGATACACATCATTAGGAAACAAGACAAAAAAGTGCTTCACATGCAAAAAGGCCAATGGAGTTGGTGGGGAAAGTACAAATGTGATGAAGTTACTATTTTGGCCCAGAGCCAGCAAAGTTCTTTTGCTGCTGTGCTGTTCAACATTTCTTCTGTGCTTCCCAAGTGAAATGGGAGAAWACTCAGGGTAACTGGAAAACTGTAGCTGTGCTGTAGGATGGGCTGTGTTTGAGTTGGATGAAGTAGAACTGTACTTGATGGAATTGCGAAGGGCTGTCACTCAGAGTTAATGAGTGAAAAGAACTAATAGTGGTRTCAGTGATTGCTACCTTATGTGATTATTTTTTTTCTTTCCAGACTAACCTGTAAACAGCATGTCTTGCAATTASAGACATGATATTAACCAACAGCAGGTTTTTTAACTAAGAACTTAAGAGACAACTTCAAATTGTAGTAGTTTATTACTGTTCCAATTTTCAAAAGATGTTTTGTCGTCACACATTTATGACTATACAGAACTTAGTTTTTTCCATGACCAAAACCTGGCAGAGCAGTTGTACATGCAGAATGCAGCTGTACCCAGCTCTGTAGTCTTCTGAGTTGATTATGGTGAAGAGAGTTGTGCATGGAGAGGGTTGTGACGCTTTGTTCTGTTAGCACCTTTATGAAAGAAGACTTTGTGATTCCCAAGCTGCTCTTTTTTACAACTTGTTTATCCTCCAGATCARTTAGGGAAGAGGATTTTTCAGTAAGGTGTGGTATTTAATTCAGCACAGATTACAATTAACAAGTAAGTTACCTTGCCCAAAGTAAGCAGGGGACACAATTTAGCTTGGCTCTTCTACTTGTACAAAGACAAGTGCTACTTCTACATGACGCTGAAGATTGAGAAAATTAACTTTTTAATTCTAGACTGAGCATGCATCCTTGTTTACATTTCAGGGAAAAGACCATTCTGACCTTTAAAACTTCATCTATGTATACAGCCTAGACAGCAATAGCTTAAAAGTTTTGTTGTAGGTAAATAGCAGCCATTTGCCATTGAAGAAACACCATACTAAACATACTGTGGTGTTTCTACTAATGGATAGACAAAGAATATTGGAAAGGAAGAACGTTATATTATAATTTCTTGAGGTGTTAATACAGCAACTTGGGTGGGTTCTTTGCAGGGTGGAAAGGAGGCACCAAGATCAGTTATATAATCAAGCATTAGTTCTTTGTTTCCTAATTCATATTACAAAGTATAGGGGTGGGGTTTGCCTTTGTTTCATGAAATACCAAGTTAATGTTTTTCCTTGTTGCAGTGATATTAGTCTAGACACTTGGTATTTCAGTAGTTCCTTCACAGTTCCCAATTAGGGAATCAAAGCACTACTGCCAAATGTTGCACCATCCTGAAAAATTGTTCTTGGCTACTAGTTCACACAGCTTTGATGGGGCATGCCTTTGAAAGCAATCTTGTGACTTTTTTCACATGTAATTACGCAAGTGAATAAAGATCATTAATGACTGGAAAAAAGGTAAAATCTGAAAGTACACCTTTTCATAGTATGACTTAAAATTAAGTAGGATACTACAGCATTTATTAGTTATGCCTCCAATTGAAATGAGGTAATACAGAAGTTCTCTTGCTTTTTTAGAGTCTTAATTTAAGTGTAACCACTCTACAAACAACTTGGTAAAGTTCCATTTGTTGCTGCCTGTACAATTGTAAATAATKGCTTCAGATAAACATCTGTTCATTTTGATAGATCTAGTCTTGTATGAATTTCCCTTTTTTGTTACAAAACACAGCTTTTTAAAAGAAATGTGGTACATTATCTTCCACTTACAGGGGAGAACAAAAATAGGTGATAGGTTAGATATTCTAGCCTCATGTATATCAAAGCCCACTGAAATGCACTTATTTACCTTAGTAGGAAGCCTTGTCATTTKCCTTTATCCTAAAATCTCTTCCAGGGCCAAAGCAAACAGAAGTCTGTTTTACTACATACAGGATGAGTTGAACCATTTCAAACTGATGTGCTGAAAAGCAGGTTATTCTGGGAGATGAGCAGCCCAGAGTTAGCAGTAAGACACGTTAACCCTGGGAAAGGGTATAAAATCCTGTCCCTTCCTGGTGCTGCAGTTGCTGAGTCAGGACTCCAGGTAGTTGTCACTCTGCTCATGATTCAGAGCTTGCATATGAGTACTTGCATACTTTTTTACAGGATTGTTTTTGTGATATACAGATATTATATATATCAGATATACTGATATACAGAAAATATGATGGTCACCTTTTGAATGATTGCTTTCTGCATATCAGTGTCACAGGAGGTAAGAGAAGTWGGTGGTCTTTGCTTCTGTAACACCATTCAGATTCACATCCTCCATTTCCAGAAGGCTGCAGTAACAAACTGAACCTGTGTGCTGGGAAGAAGATCCTCTATGCTTTTGTTGAAGCTGTCATTATGCAAAAGAAAAGCCAGAAAGAAAATTAGCAAAAGAGGAACTAGCTATAGTACAGTGTTCAAAACACATACCTGGRAGGCAGAAAGGTGTGTTCTCTCCAGGTTATTTATGCATTTAATTTTAAACTGTCTTGGATAAAAATAAACCTGGCACTGGAGATCAGAAGTCATTAYTCTGCTGGTTCTACATCTCATTAAAGCTGTTCAGTGGGGATTGCTTATGCAACGTGAACCACTGCCTTGTTCCTTTTAGAATCACCCACTCCCCAGATCCATCTTCCCTTTCCCCATGTGTTGGAGCATATTTTTGTGTGTAAGTCTGTGCTGTCCCTGTCTTACCCCACTGCCAGTCTTCTGGTCGAAAGCACTCAAAGCTGTTGGTGGAAATACCAAGCTGTATTCTCACCCTTAAAGTAACGCACAGAAATTGACTTCTGATGGCTCCATTCAGTCTTGAGTGTCTGGTGACAATTTCTTTTTAAAGTGTCTCATGGTTCTTAAGAKATGGGACATTGCCTTTTATTGGTGTTTTTTAAGTCTAAATTTTTAATAGAGGTAACTAAGGCAGGTATTTTTATGTGGGTTTTAGCTGCACTATGCCTCAGGGGTCTTTTTAGTGTGAGATGCAGCATGATTATATGAATATTCCCTGATGTATAGTCCTTCCAGATATGTAGGACAGATGGATCACAAACACTGCATTTAAAAAATATCATTGGCGTCACCCACGTGTCACCAGTACCCTCAATAATCTGATGCTTCTATTTACCCAGGCTTCAATGCAGGAATTGTAATCAGCCTTTCTCTTGAAGCATGTCTCATATGTCTACTTCCACTGATGATTTGTTCTTTGGACAACAGAGAGGAAAGGAAATCAGACTTCTCTGTGCCTTGCCACGTTTCCTGTAAGACTCATTTTATTTCCAGTTATTCTGTCAATTTATTTGCTATTGATCACAGAATCATTGAATCATTTTGGTACAAAAAGACCTTCATGATCATTGAGTCCGCCCTGTGACTGACCATCAAATTGTCAGCTGCACCATGGCACTAAGTGCAAACAATGTCCAGTTGTTTCTTGAGCACCTCCAGGAATGGTSACTACCACCACCTTGGGTAGTTCATTGGAATGCTTAACAATTCTGTTTCCTTGAAGAAATTCTTCCTGATGYCCAACCTGAACCTCCCCTGGCACAGCTTRAGGCTRTGTCCTCCTATCACTGGCTGGGAGAAGCGACTGACCCCTGCCTGGCTACTGTCCTTTCAGGCAGTGTAGAGAGTGATAAAGTCTCCCCTGAGCCTCCTTTTCTCCAGGCTGAAYAACCCSAGCCCTGGTTTCYTCAGCTCTTCCTCACAGGACTYGTTCTCCAGACCYTTCACCAGCTTTGTTCCCYTTTTCTGGACTTGCTCTAGCGCCTCAATGTTTTCCTTGTAGTGCCCTCAATGAACAGGAGAGGGAGCCAATGTACAAAAAAGCTGCAGAAGAGTACCACGCTCTTGAAGGTAATTTTGAAAAAAGCTCAGACAGTTTGAAAGACATATTTCATTTGTACAAAAAGCAGTTTTAATGCAAGTGCTCAGCAAAAAGCACTGGAGGTGATTAGTACAACTGAATGCAATGATATGTCTGCAATAAGTGGTATTCTGAA